TCTCGAGGTGGTGCAGACAGGACCTTATTCATTAGACATATAGAAGAAAACTTTACCATTGCTCAGATCTATGTCGATGACATCATTTTTGGGTCTCCTCTAGAGTCTTTAGCGATTGAGTTTGCTGAGTGTCTGCAGAGAGAGTTTGAGATGAGTATGGTTGGGGAGTTGAGCTACTTTTTAGGACTTCAGGTACGTCAGACAGAGGATGGACTGTTTATCTCACAGTCTAAGTATGCTAGGGATTTGGTTAAGAGATTTGGGTTAGATAGTAAGAAACATACTAGGACACCGATGAGTACTAGCTTGAAGTTAGGTCATGATCCTTCTGGTAAGAGTGTAGATCCTTCCCTATATCGTAGCATGATAGGTAGTCTTCTCTATCTTACAGCTACTAGGCCCGACATTGCTTTTAGTGTAGGAGTGTGTGCTCGTTTTCAGGCAGATCCAAAAGAGTCACACCTAAGTTCTGTTAGACGAATCATTCGATATGTGAGTGGTACTGCGGATTTAGGGATTTTCTATTCTAGGAGTTCCAATCTTGACTTGGCTGGATACTCCGACGCCGATTGGGCCGGAAATGCAGATGATAGGAAAAGTACGACCGGGGGTTGTTTTTACATGGGTAGCAATCTCGTAGCTTGGCTAAGAAACAAAACTCAAGGCAGAGGCCGAATACATAGCTGCAGGGAGTTGCTGTACTCAGTTTCTTTGGATGAAACAAATGCTTACTGATTATGGGATTAGTCAAGGGACTATGACTATCTTTTGTGATAATACAAGTGCGATTAACATTTCTAAGAATCCCATTTAGCACTCTCGTACAAAACACATCGATATACGACATCATTTCATTCGAGAGCTGGTTGAATCACAAGTTGTTTCCCTCGACCATGTGTCTACTGAGAATCAATTGGCTGACCTACTTACAAAACCGCTAGATGGGTTGAGGTTCGAATCGCTTCGGTCGGCTGTAGGTGTTAGTTCACCTATTTGATCATGTGTTCATACACATTCATACCTTCATCACATTGCATATGTGTTGCATGTTTGTGTGTTTGTTTAGTCTTAGTTTGCGAGTTTTATTTGTGTGTTTCAATAAAATAAAATAAAAATAAAAAAAAAATTTTGATTGTGGTTTTGATTATGTGTGTGCCTTATATGCTTTGACTCTGACATGTGCATTTAGACTCGTACTCTTTTATTCATCATATGTACGACTCTAAGGTTCTATCTAAGTTCACTTTGTCTGTGGAGTTTTGGGTATATGGCTCGTCATTCACCTTTGCACAGTGCACACCGTAGTCCTGTAAATGAGACTTGACCGCATGGGTGAGACTTGGAATGGTGGTCTACTATGATTAGGGTTGTGTGTCCATTTGACTTGATCTAGGACGAGTGTCACCTAATCATAATGTCTTTCCCCACGTTTATTGTATATTGTCGAACTTTTGCTATGTTTGGGGCCTATTTGACTCGAACTATTAAGCCCGAGGGGTTTTTAACCTGGTGCCCTAAGGTCGTCTGGCTTGGGAGTCACCGGCCCAACGTTCGTTACAGGGGTCATCTCTGTCGCCTAATGAGGATAGCATTGCACTTATGTTCGCGTGTTAAAAAAAAATGAGATCTTTTAGTTAGGGGGAGTAAAAGTGTGACAATCGAATTATTTGATATAGGTCCTCGTGGCATTGGATTTGACTGTCACTTGGTCGACACATACCTTTGTTGTGTTGCTTTCACGTGTCCTTTCTCACTAATTTAAGGTTTTGAGTCTAACTTGCATGGACTACGTAGCACGTTTCACGTGATGCTTTGTATACACTTTACTCCACGAGTTATTTGATCTATGTGTGGACTTACGAATTGTCTATATGCTGTGTATCGGGTTTGTGTCTTCATGGTTATGTTTGGGCTCGATTGCATATTTTGCTACACATCGTTAAAATTTTGTTACTCAGGACTATTTTCATAATTTTCAGAGTGTTATGCCATATTTTAAAGAATTCAAAATTTTGGTGCTATTTTTGAAAGTTGCATTTTCGCTCGAGGTTCGCTCCATACCTCGCTCGAGCGATAATAACAGATTCACTCTCGCTCAAGGCTCGCTTAAACCTCGCTCGAGCGACAGTGCAAGGTTTTGACCTATAACTTCATTTCTCGCGTTTCCAGTTTGAAAATTCTCCAAGTTCTTCACAAATTTCATACAATCTTCTAGAATTTCTTCTGTTCATATTGTTAATTGAATGTTACGACGTTATTACACATCATTTCAACATCAAAATTCCATTTTTGAACTTCAATTGAGGTAAACTTTCCATGTTTTTATTTTTTTCGTTTTTTTTCTTTTCCTCAATTCTTTGCATTTTGCGTGATTCTTTGCTTCTATTACGTAAATTCTTGGGCTATATCTTGTTTAGCATCGTTGCCATGAAGTTTGTTTCACGTTAGATTTATATTTTCCATGGCATTGTGAGAATTGTGTTGAAATTTTGCTTGTGTTAGTTATGTTTTTCATCGAAGTTCATCGCGTTGGTTCTTGCATTCCGTAAATCCGATTTGCATGCCGTTTGTTTCATATTGTTCGGGATGTTACCTAGTTTGTGGTTGTGTGATTGGGTATGGGGTTACGTATCTTGCGTGCCTGGAAAGTTGTGCCAAAGAACCGCACGTCACATGCTCGGTGAAATGCCATAGTCTATTTAGGTTTGATTTTTTTTACATGTTTTGTTGTTTCCCTTTTGCATGGTTCTTCTTCATGGTGTTTGTGCATGGTTTCTTGGTCAGGTGTCGAGACAGGCTATTTATGCTCGTAGGGTCGTTTCACGTTTTTCGATACATCTTTGTTTGAGGCTCATGTATGTGCACGTGTGTCATGTCACGTTGCATCACTTCACTTGCATTATTCATATGTCTCATTTCTTGCCTCTTTACGCGTGCCAGATGCCTCGTAAGCGATCGCGTACCTCTTCCTAGCCTGCTAGTGGTTCGACCTCATACAGTCGTTCGAGGTTCATTTCTGCTACTGCTCAGGAGGTCTTCACGTCCCAGTTCTCCTTACGCCCTGTTCTCATGGAGCGTGAGGTAATCCTTTCTGACCTACCAGTTGAGATAGCAGCCATTCTAGTATCCAGGGGTTGGGAGCCTTTACTTGTTGGTCTCTCTCCTCCACCCCCTCTCCTTGTCCAGGAATTCTATGCTAACATCCATGACATTGATGGGTCCTCGTTTTTTTTTTTTTTATGGGGTCATACTTTTAGGGTTACTCCTTCTGCCTTAGCTAGGGCTTTAGGTATTCCTGAGATTACCCATCCTACATACCCCTATATTTTACCCTCTTCAGTTCCGGCCGACTCCCTTGTTCGGTCGACGATTTTGAACACTCCGTCTGTCGGGAGGCCTACGGCGATGGCCACTGGGTCTTTACCCACTGATCGCCAGGTTCTGTTGCGATTGTGTGCACGAACCTTTGGCCTGTTGCCCATACTTCTTCTTTACCTATGGGGCGGGCCCGATTTTTATATGCATTACTTCG